ACATAGTTCTTAACACATAATATTGCTTTCATATACTCACATACTCTGAAGAAAACAAGAGTTCTATTGTTTATATGGCACAAACCACAGCTTATCTGCCTTCACAAGTATCATATTATAAAAGGTATAACAATCAAGCAAAGCCAAGAACCAGCTCCTGATTTAGAGCTTCAATAAACAAATGGCTAATCCTTCAGTTCCTATCCCAACATGTCTCTGGCTACCTGCATGCTAGGATTAGTGCATTATGTATCAGTGGGTTGGAAGACTTTTCTTCAGTTTTTCTAGACAGTCAGAACTTACCAAGTTTCCAACAAAAGCGAATACCCCTGGGGCCTCTCCAATGTTGTACTGTAATGTTAGCAGGGCAGAAAAGTTTCTTCCACCTTACTGCTGCCCTATTTATACTTCCCTTTGAACTGAAAACTGAAGGGCCCTGCACACTCATACCAAACCAACTCTACTCTCCAGAATGCTGATTTGGGAGATGCATCTTATTTGCTAGCCTGCCAAATTAAGCACATAAAAGAAGACATTATTCTAGTGATTGGTATAATTAACGTATTTCCTGAGGGAAAAAAGTCTGGTGCCTGACACAATTCAATACATCTATCTGCCCATCTCTGCAAACATCAATGCACACTATTATTCTGGAGTCACCAGAGAAGGCAGTGGGGGAAGAGAGCTCCAGAAGAGTCAGCCTCAATCCTACAGTTGGGATTGATGTGTGACTTTCCAATCTTAAATGTTATACCAGAATTCCACTAGGAAAACTGGAACTGGAAGCCAAGTCTTTTGCTACCAGTTCAGAGAAGGTTTTCTGGCATCATGCTGCCCCCTTATCTCAACCATTGTCAGTCATCTTGATTTAAACCAAATCCCTGAGAATCAGTCCACATCTTCTCCTACATAGCTCTTTAATGGAACCTACTGCATGCTCCCAAAAAAATACCAACTAGCGCATACACGCAGTCGTATCGTCAATTTTAGAGGTAAAGCCTGTTCAATCACACTAGTGAGGTTATTCAACATATAAGCTTGAGATATTTCAATAAGCCTTCTCATAGGAAAAAAGCTATGGTGGCTTCATTAACCTCTCCTAAGAGTCATTCATTACTTTGTTCACATATACACTGACAACCTACATGCCAGGCACTAGGGAAATCAGTTGTGACCAGGTCCCTATTTTTATGCATCTTACCTTACATTCCCCAGTAAAGAGGCAAACAAACCAGTAAAGAGGTAAGCAAATTAAGATTTTTCAGGAGTGAAAATTACTATTAAAAAGTGACATCAGGGCACCTGGGTGGCTCAGTCGGTTAAGTGTCTGCCTTCAGCTCAGGTCATGATCCCGGGGTCCTGGGATCGAGTCCCATATCAGGCTCCCTGTTCTGCAGGGAGCCTGCTTCTCCCTCTGCCTCTGTCTGTCTCTGTATCAGTGGGTCTCGGTCTCTCATGAATAAATAAAATCTTAAAAAAAAAAAAAAAAGGTGACATCATACACAGTGACATGGTTCAGTGAAATGTTAGAAGGGGTGCCTAGGGGAGGTCTCTATGAGGGAGGGAGATGGGAGCTGACACCCAAGTGCTATAAAATGCCAGCCTTGTCAAATCTGAAGGCAGAGCATTCCAGGCCAAAAAAAACAAAAAACAAAAACAACAACAAATATAAAGGCCTTGAAATGAAATCACAAAGCTCTGAGAGGAACATAAAGAAGGCCAACAGGCTGGAGTACAGTGAACACGAAGGAGTGAGTTCAAGACGCAAAAGGAAGATGGGTTGGCCTAAATCACGCAGGGCCTGGTAAAAATGTAGACTAAAGTGTAAATGCCACAGGAAGCCACGAGTGTCTCAAATAGGAAAGTAACATGATTCCACGTATGTCTTCAAACGTTCCTTTTGACTGCTGTCTGGAGAATGGATTGTTGAGGACGAGAGCAGAAGCAGAGACTAATTTGGTGGTCACAGTGGTCCCGAGAAGCAGAGAGAGAGCTGAACTGCACAGATCTGGAGTACATTTTGGAGGTAGTTTTTGGCCCAGGCACCTTGGGGCATAGGAGTGCCATTACTGAGATCGGAAAGAGCAGAAAAAGAAGAGACTTGGGGTGCAAAGGCAGTGTGATGAGTCGAGGGTAGGGGTGTGGCACACAGAATTGAGAATTCAGACTCAGCCAAGCTCTAGGTGGGATGCCTATTCAGACATGCAAGTGGAGGAGGAAAAGGCAACACTGAGCCAAAGTGAAGTCATCTTTGTTGTTTTCTCTACCCTTCTGTGGGGACAGACCAAGCTACACCTCTAAGGAAGGTCTTAATAAGGACACAGGAGAGTTGCTGAACATTTCCTTTTAAAACTCAGAAGCCGGGGCGCCTGGGTGGCTCAGTGATTGAGTGTCTGCCTTCGGCCCAGATCATGATCCCAGGGTGCTGGGATCAAGCCCCGCATTGGGCTTCTTGCTCAGCGGGAAGCCTGCTTCTCCCTCTCCCGCTCCCCCTGCTTGTGTTGCCTCTCTCGCTGTGTCTTTCTCTGTCAAATAAATAAATACTTAAAAAAAACAAAACTCAGAAGCCAATTTCTCCCCTGGATGAGTTTACTGCATTGCCCATTTGTTTCAGAGTCTAATCCCATAAGGCAAAAACACCCTGGTACTATTAGGATTTAGGCCTTTAGTTAATCCTAAAGGATCTGGACTTTTGATTGCAACAGACTCTCGCATGCAACCTAACTGCATAAATCGCTACCGGTGATTCAGTCATAGGGACACCAGTGTTGAAAGGGAACTCAGGGATCACTAGGTAGAAAAACCTTATTTTCGGGCGCCTGGGTGGCTCAGTTGGTTAAGCGACTGCCTTCGGCTCAGGTCATGATCCTGGAGTCCCTGGATCGAGTCCCGCATCGGGCTCCCT